ACCCAACCAAACATGAGAAAATTGAAAAACATTTTCCTTCATACCAAACACACCCTATGTCTTTTCTCTTTATTTCTAGTTGTGAAGTTCCAATTTCACTAATAATCTTTGCTCTTCGAACTTCCCTTTTCCTCCAATACTAATTAGACTTTTATATATAATATATAATATAACATACATGATGGTAGAAAATTTATACTATCAAGTCACATTTACTTATTGGAGTAGGTAAATAACTTTATCTTATTTTCATTATTACAAATTCTGTTTACTTATTGGAGTAGGTAAATAACTTTATCTTATTTTCATTATTACAAATTCTGTTTTGAGGAGGATAATTTGTATATATCTTCAAGATGGTATTATAGTTTTTAAATTTTTTTTACATCATCAATGGTTGTAATTGAGCTACTCCTCGGGATCAATTATCTAAGATTTTGATCAAACAAAAGCTCAATCTAGTGATATTTTTATAATGAAAATTAGATTCATCATTGAAATGTATTCTCATTCAAAATTACCGTAGTTCCTTTTCAAAAGATCTTTGATAAGTCATAGAGTCGGAATAATGGTACTTGCTCAGATTCAATTTTTTATAACTACGTTTCAGGCATACTTAGAACGCGTGAAACTCAAAATGCAATAATTTCCACGGCCTTCTTGTTACAAAAACCATCAAAGGATCAGGACGATATACCTTTCAAAATGCAATGTAAAACAAGAAAAAATAAAGTAGTCAATTTACTAAAGTATGCATTCTAGAAGACCCAATAGACACTGTTTTATTAGTTTGACTTTTATATATAATAAAATAATATACACTGATGGTATTAAAAAATTTACACTATCAAGACACATCCACTTACTTTATTTTCATTATTACAAATCCATTTTTAAGGAGGATAATCAATAGATTTGATAACGTAAAAGAATAATTTAAATTGTCAATGAATCTAATTACATAGTCAAGATTTACACTATGATATTTTCATAACGGTTTAAAATTTAAATTTATTGTTAAAAAGATATTCCTATTCAAAATTCTCATAGTTCTATTTTCGGACTTCCATAATGTACACTCTTAATAGGTAATGGAATAAAGTATTTCCTAACAAAGATGGCTCTATATCAAGAAAGACTCAAACTCAAAATCTCTATATGATTAAGAATGAATAACGACTTATCAGTACGCCACAACCTTGAGAATCAATTTTCACTTGACCAAAGTTATAAGTCTCATGTATATCCTGTCCACACACTGACACACATAGCCCTTGTCTACATACATCACTGGACAAGTTGTGGTTTTAATTAACACGTCTCATCAATTCATATGAAAACTAGTACTCTCTCCGTTTTTAAAAAAATGGCTTGATTTAATTTGACACGGAATTTAAAAAATTAAAGAAAACTTTTGAATCTTGTGATCCTAAATTAAAATTATGTTAAATGTATAAAATTACTCTTAACCTTGTGGTCTTAAACATGACACGTGAAAAATTAAAAATAAAATGTTACCAAAAAAAGAGAAGTCATTCTTTTTAAAACAAACTAAAAAGAAAAAAATATCATTCTTTTTGAAACAAAGGAAATAATTCATTTCATAGACGTTAGAATTTTATTTCTTAATGAAGTTCATTAAATAATTATCACATTCGATCATGATCCTGATTTAGACTAGCCCATCCCCTTATGAGCCTTGCCATAAGCAGATGGTTGATGTTACCTAACAATAAAAGAAGTATATTATTCAAAATTATGATAAAAAATTTGCCTTAAAACTTGTTAGCAGAAAGTATAACATGTTAAATTTTATAGAAGGAAAAAAGAAGAATTAATACATAATTAATCCCTTAAACTTGTTAGGTATATCCAAAAAAATTCTCAAACTAAACTACATTTCAATTGATCACCTCAAATTTTAGTTAGACATTTTCGATTTAAACTTTAATTTCTTTTCTTCTTATATTCCCTTTCTATCTATTGTATTAAATAATTACGTTAATTATATAAAATATAACATCTTTAATTAAGCGTATCCGTCTTAATAAGTCGTAAAATTTCAATAATTTTTACTCGAGGTTGATAAGGTGATAGTAATGGCAATAAGTTAGCCTTGGAGAGTAGAGAAAAGGAAGCCATTGATGGCGAACAAGCTCCTCAGCGAAATGGGTCTTCCCAACTCCATAGCCAACATTTTTGCTGCTCGTAACCTTATTACTGCCAAGGTTTCTTTTAACCCTTTTCCCCCTTTATTTATTTGACCTAATGCAAATGTATTGCACATTTTTCAAATGTAAGATTCATTATTGGTTTCTGAATTCTTCAAACTTTAGCATTTCCATTATCTGAGTCTGTTTTAGTACTTGGGTTCTTCAAATTTTTGGAAGAAATGTACAGTTCCAGCCCTAATTTTGATCCTACTGTGAAGGGCAATTATGTTTAAAGATTGATTGATATTTCTAAGTGTAGAAAGTCTATTAACACATGTTGAGGAGCAACTATAACACCCAATGAGTAGTTTTTGCGTTAATTTATGTGCACACTAGTTGTGGAGAAGTGGTCAATGAAGTGGCATGAGCACTATGAGGTGTCAATTCAATCAGCAGAGACAAAAATTTAGGTGATTTCTTTTCATTTATTTTAATCTTGATGGATAGAGTTACCTTGTATCTATTGCGGGTGGGAAGTATCATGTGGAATTAGTTGGGGTGCACGTAAGTTGGCCTGGATACGACATTTATTAAAAAACAAAAAACAAGAAACAAACTAGAAGTTGTGTTTCACTTGAAATCACTAAGAAGAAAAGATGGAAATTCAACATTTTGGATTGTAAAGTTGAGGGGGAATGTAGGGGTTGTTATGGAAATAAGTAGTGAAATATGGGAAATGGGAATACTATATTAGATGAAGGTGCAGGGGAATGGTATTCACTATTGGTAGAGGCAATTGAAGTGAAAAACTACTGATGATGTTTGTTGATTTGGTAGCTGAGTTGTTAGAGATGTCAAGTGGATTTTATGCACTCTTTAAGTCTTAGGGAATTAATAGCTATGAAGCAAGAAAATGGTTTCCTAGTTTTTTATGCTAAACCAAATGAAATCTTTATGAATCTGTTCAATGCCCTTACAAGCACTGAGAAGTTATCTCAAGCATGTGTGGAACTGTCTGTGCTGAGTGCGCATGTCGCGGGATGATGTCAAACAAGGGAAAAGTTTATTTACATTGCACCTTTTCTTTCTTTGATTTTCCTCAAGTTCTTGTTTCTGTATCAATAGACACCTGGGCAGGGTGAGGAGAAAAGTTGATCATCGTGAATGCAGGAAATTGATCTTCAGATAGATTACTGATTGTTGTTTTCATCTTTCAAGTGTGCATATGTGTCTGTTTTTCCCTTATAATTTAGTACTCCGGTTTAAGTGCAAAAAAGATCCCACCTGGAACAGAGAAGTGAGGGAATCAATTTTATGTTTCATGTTTTGAACCTTATTAACTTCCTGACACATTGCTTTCAATGCATCCCCATTAATTTATGTTTGTTCTATTGTCTCAGGACGTATTTTCACTGACAGAATTTGAGTTGATGGAATTGCTAGATGTGGATTTGGCTGTAGTAACATCAGCAGTGGCACACATCAGTGAAATTACATGCCCTCCGTACCAAACTGTACGTGTATAAAGGCAGACTATGTGGTTGAGTTTTTCAAGAAGAGATCAAATTCACTTCCCCCTTGCTTTTCTGTGACTTTAGGCACTGTCATTGTTGGAACAGCGTGGTCAAAATGAGAACATGGCTGGCCATCTTCCAACTTCTCTAAAAGGACTCGATAATGCTCTGTGTGGGGGAATTCCTTTTGGTGTTGTGACAGAGCTAGTGGGTCCAGCAGGCATTGGTAAAACCCAGGCAAGATTATCTGTTTCTAACTTAAAAGAAAACGTGTTTTCTGGACTTCTTTCGTATTTGGTGGCTGTTGGAACTTTGGGTTTCTTCAGTTCTATCTGTTGTGTTTGCAAGTGTATGTATTGAGACATTTTCATATTTTTTATCATCATCTAGATTATCTTCCCATAATAGTGCTATGTGTTTCCTTTTCATAAAAAAAAATAGTGCTGTGTTTCCTTGCTTTTAAATTGCCTGTTTTACCGTTGGTATGTTTTTTTCGCTGAGCTTATTCTGTCGTTAATTGCAGTTCTGCTTGAAGCTTTCATTACTAGCTTCTCTTCCTTCGAGTTATGGCGGCTTAGATGGCTCTGTAATTTATATCGATACAGAATCCAAATTTAGTTCACGGAGGTAACTTTCAGGCTTTTGGTACTAAGGTTGCTATGTTTAGTGGAAATAGTGACCTTTCTGTTTCTGAAGCGTCTTCCCAGGATGATAGAAATAGGATTTAATAGCTTCCCAGAAGTATTTCAGACCGAAGGGATGGCACAGGAGGTATATAACATATTGTCTAGTGCTTTTTTTTTCATATTTCCTTAAATGCAGAGGGACCAGCTGCTGCACCTATGACTAACTAACTACTCTGGAACAACAACATTGAACAAGAGAGTGAAGTTTTAAAATCAATTTTCAATGAAGTTTATATTAGGAGGATTCATCAACCTCAACTTGTTTGGGACTGAGATCTTTGTTGTTGTCATTGTTGTTGGTTCAATGAAGTCTATGAATCTCGTCAAAGCTGTTTTATATTATTAGCAAGTCTATGATTAATCACTTGCAAATGGATTCCCTTTCCCAACTAATTTTATTCTCCCCTCTGAGTAACATCATACTGAAAGTGAGCTATGAAATGGTCATGGTAGGATGCAAGTTCTAGCTCCTTTATCTTCTACAATTGGTTCACCGATATCATGCCCATTTCTAAGTTGACATTTTTCCTTGTGGATTGAAGATTTCTATCAACACCTTTCTTCCATGTTCAAGTATATATGGATGTCTTCACTCACTGTGTCTCTAAAATAAAATGATGAGTAAAGGGTAAAAAGTTGAAGAGCTGAACATTTTCTTAGTTTTGCAAATTAACTATGTCAGAGCAGTTAGTATAGTAAAACCCTTGGCTTATCTTGATGCTAATGCCTGCACCCTTTAGTGTTTTCTCTTTAATGCATTGGATTGAAGAGCTTAGTGAGGATGTTCCCCTTGATGTTGCAGATGGCTGGAAGGATCCTGGTTCTAAGGCCAACATCACTTTCTGAATTTACTGATAGGTCTGTTGCAGCTTTACCTATGAACTGTTATTCTGAGTTGATGCAATACTGAATTCATGAATATTTAGATTATGGATTATAATGTTGGAGGGAGTATGGGTTAATTAATGGAATTGAAATATGTTTTTGTTCGTATTCTTCTACTTTGAAGAATGGCCTTTGCATTTCAATCACTTCAATTGACGATTAAGATGAAAGGTCTGAAGGAGTTACATAGGTTAATACTATTGATTAGATGGTTGGAAGAAATTATCTTTGTTGGAATATAATTTGTTTGGTGAATGATGTTCATGACCATGTATACCTTACTGGTCAAACTAAAAATCCATATTCTCATAAATTTATCTTAAAGGGATGCAACTAGATATCCACAAAAAATAGCAAAGAAAGAAGCTGCTGCTGGATGTCATCACTGGAGAACAAACATACATAGTTTTGTTAAGACAACAAATGCACAACTCAACTCTTACCTAGTGGCTAGTGTAATCGCACAAGTGGGGCAATGCATAACTTTTACGATTAAATAAAAATGAAAAATAAAAAAATCAATTGATGATATGAGTTGATATTAGCTTTTCAAATTTTTTTTCTGAAATAGGAGGAAATAAAAATAAAATAAAATGCATTTTTTTCTGAAATAAAAGGATGAATATGTTTGATCAAAGATAGAAGTGCTGACAGTCCATTTTATGCTTTTAACATTATCTTCTCTTATGAGGCCACATTATGTGTCAGATATGTTGGCTATTCAGTACTCTGTATGGCATCCTGTATTAACAGTTCCACAAACTCAGTATTATCCAATACTGCGGGGAGAGAGTATTGTCAATAAATAGATAGTTCACCGACTTTATAAAGCAGTGAATAATGTAAGATCTCTTGCTTATGATGTGAGGGATTCAATCCAAGATAATGTTGGAATCAAAAGGTAAATCCAATGGAAGTCAGATATAATGTTGTTTTAAAGCCTGTGTATCTACAATTTTACAAAACCAACCAAACACCCGACAGCCAATATATATTAAGTTCATAATGCACATATTTCATTTAGTTCCTGTATTATAATCTCTTTTTCCCTTAAGTTCATAATGCATATATTTCATTTAGTTCCTGTATTATAATCTCTCTTTCCCTCTTATTTGATCTTACTGTTGTTCAAAGCAGCTCCTTCTTCAATAAAGTGATAATTCGTTTACGCGTTGAGAAAATTCCGGCATAGGAAAAGTAGAAAGCCAATGCAAAAGTATGGTTCGTTATAATGACACATAATGCACTATATTGACTGGAACATGGGCACACCATATGTTAACAAGAAACTAAAGACAAGCCCTCATCTGTACAAAATCATTTTCTGCTCCTTCAAAAGCTCTCCTATTCCTTCCCTCCAAGTACCCACATAAGAGCCAAAATATCCATATTCCACCCTCTATGCATTCTTTTCCTTCTTCTGAAAGCCCAGCTCAACATCACATCCTTAATTGTGGCCGGCATTGACTGCTCTCCGTAACAGCCTCTTATTTCCTTTCAATCAAATTTCTCTTTCATTTTGACACTTCTCCAAGTTGTGTAAGTATTGGACGTTTTTAGTTTTTATGAATTATTGTCTATGTGTTTCTGTCAGTTTGCAGAAAATCAAAGTTTCACTATTTCAGCACGGTGTGAAATTGCTGATCATTGACAGCATGGCTGCTCTTCTTTCAGGGTAATTCCTTTTTTCACTTTTCCTGTGTATTTGTTCAACTTCAACTTGTGTTTCCTTTTGAAATCTGCTGGAGTTGTAAGATTTTCGCCTAGTATCCACTAAAGAAAATGTGAATATCTTGATAGTCCAGAAAACATTAAAGCTTATCCATGCTGATTGTGCTCTTAAGTTATATACAAGAATAATGTGTTAGTGGTATCAGATTCTATGCAAATTTATATAACCATTCTCAATGTGAAATTTTAGGTCTCAGTACATTACTGTGTCTGGAATTCATGGTAGCCTGCTTTGGGGGTTATATTTTATAATTTCTTTGATCATGCGAAAACAGATCTTTGGCACATAATACTCAGAACCCGCTCTTTGCAGTTGGTGTGATTTCATGTCATGTGCAACATTGGATAATAATTTTTTGAAAACTCAGTATCTGTATACTGCTCTCCACATTGTCTTTTTCACCATAGTGATACTCGTGAACTTTTCACTCTTTCCAGTGAAGGTGTACAAGGACCTCAGAGACAACACTCATTGGGTTGGCATATATCATTTATTAAGTAAGAACATTGTCTTTTTGAATGAGTACCTAGGAAGTATCTCTTTCTTCTTCCCCTGTACCAAGCTATTGATCTGTGTTTTGCCTAATCTGATGCTGCTTGTTTGCCATTTTCAGATCAGTTGCAGAATTTTCACGAATTCCTGTAGTAGTGACCAATCAAGTGAGATCTCAAAGTCGTGATGGAACTTCCCACTATTCTTTCCAAGGTACTGTGGTAGTATCAGTCTTTGCTAGTATTAATAATGACGGAAGTTTTTTTTTTCTTTTCTAAAATAAAGAAATATATTTTGAACGACGGAAAGGATCATTGCTATCATAATACTTGGTTCCATTTTACTAAAGCATGCTTGCTTGCAGATTCCTCCCTGAAATTAATGGGTAATTCTTTTAATTTAGATTTGATTAATCTCCAGAATGAAACTAGATTTGCAATAGACTTGAGCTTAAAATTTCTATGAAAAACTGGAGTTTAGAAAGACTAGATATTGATAAATCCATCCTTGAGCTTCCACCAATAACAACCTCATAGAACCCGGTAAAAGAAGAAGTAAAGAGAATAAGAGAAAGGGGAGAAGAGTGGCGAACAAAGATAGGAGATAGTGAATTTCCGGTTTGGTATTTACCAAATTCCACAAATGATTGGTCTCTTGTTTATCCGCATTATATGGAATTAGCTGAACAATCTGAACCCTCAATTTGATTTATCCCAGACATCGATCTTCTTCTAGCTCACCAAGTCACCCTACTAATATCTGCCCGTCTAAAATGAAGTTAACATATTCTTAGCTAAACGGTGTCATCTCATAACATCCCAATTGAAATTATTTTTCCTTTAGAAAGTCTACTCCCAGCTCACTACATTCCTTCTGCCTTTGGAATTATGCTCGACCTCGAGCATGCTGTTGCGCGATAGACTCCGGAAACTAAGATTTAGTTACCTTCCAATCTTCCACATTGCTTCCGCTGGAGCTAAATATTCCCACTGTACAAGTATGTTCACTGACCTCCATTATTTTATTTCACCATGTTCCTTGATAGTATTGCGATAAGTTGACCAAAATCTGTCCATCTTCTCCGTCCAATCTTTCTTTCAACAACGAAATATGTAATACAGGGTAGCTGAGAATCTTTGGGGAATTATAGTAAGCAACAGGCTCTACCCTTTGTATTTCTTCATACGGCCCATAAAACTTTGGACACTGTTAAGAGTGTCTCACCTTGATTGAGAAATGAGTTGTTGTCTCCTTATATAATCTTGGGAAATCATCACCTTATGAGCTAAGCTTATGCTGTTTGAGTATTTTCTTAATATGGTATCAGAGGCAGAGACATTTCTATTCATATTCTTGGTTGACCAAATGTTGCGCGCCCATGTTATGTTGTCTATGGTCCAAATATCAAGCCCTAGGCATGCAGGAGGGCAGTAGATTATGTAATTAGACTAAGTTTTCAGAATTAAAAAGCTTTATAATTAACAGTCTGTGGGACATGGGATACTATTACTTGTTGAAATATGAGGTATTGTTGCACAAAAGATGATGTAGAACTTCCTCTTCAGAGCAAAGCAGAGGTGAAAGTCCAGTAGCTGCCTCAAAACTTGATTCTCATCTTGTTGCTGCTTTAGGGATCCACTGGGCTCATGCTGTTAGTATTCGTCTTATATTTGAATCAAGATCAGGTTAGATCTTCTTCTTTTCTTTGAATTGGTGATCCTGGATTTTTGTTAAGGAAAGTTGTGCTTTTGTGGTGTTGAAACTTGAAATTCACATTTGTGCTCACCTTTGGTTCTGAAGTGTCACCAATCTGCTTATGTCGTAATACATAATAGTAGCTAGAGTAAGAAAATAGTGTTACTACATTTTTGTTTTTTGGTCTTCAACCGATACATGCTCTTCTAGATCTTTGGTCTGGAAAAGTACTGTAAAAGGATTATGCAAGGGAGAGGAGTTGATTGGTGTACTATTGGATGGTGGTCAGAATCAGTCTTTTCGACAAACTTTATATCATTGTATTCTCTAGGAAATTGTTACTCCAAGCTTAGGCCAAAAGACAACACCTTATAATTAGGCTAAGCCAGCTGATTTACCTGAATTTATTTGTAATACAGATAACGACCCATGGATATGTAATGGGAAGAATCTTCTTTATTGTTAAACTGTACATAATGTGTGACTTGTATCCAGTGTTTTGGACGGCGAAAGGTGGCAAGGGCCTGCCTCGCCTCGTGGCTCGCTGCTTGCCTTTTTGAATTGAGGCGCCAATTAATACCAAAATTTTAAAATTTTAATTGCATATATAAATATCCAAAATCTTAATAGCAATAACATATATTAGCAAATATTTCAATTCAAAAGCTAATAGTAGATACTAAAAGTCTAGAACTTGAATGACTCAATGATTCATAAGGCAATTGACAAACAATACTAGAACTCTAAAAGTCCATTGAATTCACTATCTATGGACAAATAAATACTATATTAATTAAAATAAAACTAAATTAAGTAGGGAAGAAATAAATATAAAAGGATTAATTTTTTTTTTTTTTAAAATATATGCAGTGAGCACTGTTCAATGTTCAGTGCTTCAGAGTTCAGTAGCTCCAAGCCTCCAACATAAAAAGAAAAACATAGCACTCACTACCACTGAAAACAGAGCACTCAGCCACTCACTACAACTGAAAAACAGAGTAGAGAAGAAGAGGAGAAGAACTGAAGAAGAAGAAAAAAAAGAAGAAGAAGAACTACGTACCTGAGCTGAGCAACAGTCGCAAAAAACTGAGGAGCAACAGTTCCGAAGAACGAAAGTCTCGTCCTCACTCTCGAAGGGGTAGCCATTCGTGACGAAGAGGAGAAGAGTAGCGATTCGCTAAGGTTTGCAAAAATACCCCAAAAAAAAATGGAAATAGGCGATGCTGCCTCACCTTTCGCCTTTGGCGAGAAGGGGAGCACCTTTCAAAACACTGCTTGTATCATTATTTCCTACCCATGGAACTTTTGGAGAAGAAAATGGAAGATTTGGAAGCAATGATATTTGGCAAAGTTACTATTTACCTTACGATAGGTCCTATCTTGCACTGGATGGGTCAATTTCATCTTTTTAGGTTTTTGCTCTACTCCAGGTAAAGATCCGCTAGCTTCATTTGGATTTGTACATATAGGGCAAACGCTTCCATTACCATTTCTTTTTGTATTTTTTTTCAAGTCATCTTATACAAGTATTTATTAGAGTTGAGATAACTTTGCTCGACAATTAGGATTCTGGGTAATAGGAAAATCTTTCTTTCTAGGGAATCATGCTTACTAAGCTCTGTTTGAAGTAATCTCATGCTCATTTGTGCTCTCAATCTTCATATTTCTTACTTAGTCTATTCTTGAAGATGGACTTCGATCCTTAATATTTGGTTTCCCTACTTGAACTGATGATCATTGTGGTGGTTCATAGCTTCTAATAATGATACATTTGGAGTGTCTAAATTGAGCTTATAATGTTTTTTTTCTTTCTGACTTTTGCCTTCTGATTCTTGAGTAGAGTAGATTAACATATATGAATGAAGGAGTTGCTGATGCTCTCTTCCGTCTTTCAGGTCAAAGGTTCATAAAATTAGCAAAATCTCCTGTATCTCCGCCTTTTGCATTCGCTTTCAACATAACTTCTTCTGGGATTTCATTGCTCAATGATGATGGAGTGGAAATGCCAGGGCCAGAGATACATTCAATAAGTTGTCAAGGTATGATTTAGTATACTGCCTCTTTCATTTGTGGGAGGTGGGAGTTTCTGAGGTAGTGACATTATTTCAATTTGGTAGAGTGCTTCAATTACGTATCTGTAGTATAAAAAAGAAGACACAACAATCTCAAAAGGCAAAAGGTAGAAACAAATGATTGCTTAGAAAAAGTTCAAGCACTTTATGCGATTCAATTTTAGTTCACATGGAAAAGAAACTTTAAGAATGTCGTCTTGATGACAATTAGCAAGAGCCCTATGTTTAGCACACTGTTCCAAAAATGTCATTTGGTCATATGTTGCTTGCTGGTTTTTATTACTGAAAATCCTCACCAGTCTCTATACATAATGCAGGTCACAACGATGTAATTAATTTCGGTAGTGAAATGATGCATTGAGGTCCAGAAGCAAGGATACCTAATCTAATGTGTAGCCCTATAGGTGTGCTGGTAAATTCTTCTTCTTATACTAGCACTAACACATTCTCTTTTTCTCCGAATCCTCAGACTGAACTTCATCGTTCAATCTTAAATCCCTCAGTCATATCTATTTTAGGTGTAAATTCTATGAGTAGACGATGTAAATATGATTGATTTATAAATGAATCCATTGTGATGGATTCGTAACGTTGAGTAAGGTAAACTCACATCCTGTTAAGTCCTTGCTTGGAAGATTGATGCCTTATGTATTGTGTCGTATTGTCAAGTTTTTTACTATATAATGGTTAAAAATTATATTTTATGGAATGATTTATCTAGTGTAATTGTGTTGTATTTGTTTGATGAGAAATGCAAATCTGTTTGTCCACTTTCTTCACCCCCTCTATTAAAATGATCAATTCAAGGACAAAGTTGTCAGAGCATCGCACACTCGATGAAAGAGCTTTACAAGTGGCTTTTGAGTGTAATGAATCAAAGCTGAAGATGGATCAAAACTTAGTAGGCCTAGGGTGGGGTAAGTTTTTCTCGAAGTAGCTCAACAATGTTCACGGTGAGGCTATACGTATTGCTCCTCCAACACAGTACATAGGGTTCCCATAATTTTTTTTTCAAAAAAATTGATTGAAATCTATATCACCAAAATATTCCGTCACGGCTCGAGCTGACACCCTGGGTGTGGCCGACACTCACATACCAATGTTGATCCCTAGGTGAACTCTTGGCCTGACTACTTAGCGGAAGACTAACTCAAGCAAATTTAAGCTTAAAATTTAACTTCAAAAGTCTCAGAGCTTCTCAAAATTCAAACTATCTCAAAGTAGTATACTCAAACGATTTGAAAATAATAATAGTTTGCCATAATAGTTTAGAGGAAATATTAAAAAAAACTCAACACTAACTATCTATGAAGTGTTTATAGTTCAATATGGATGTTGGGATAAGACCCACAACACCTCAAAACTATTAAACTGAAAGACAAAAGTGGAGTCCTCCAGAATGCATGGAAGACTCACCAAAAGTTTTTCTAAAAAAAACTTCATGAGGACCTCAGTAATGATTTGGGGGAACATTATGTATGGTCTCACTATTTTAAGCAATATTTTTGCATTTAGAGGCCAACTTTTACAAATTACGCGACTTTCTTATTTTTTCGTGTGTTAAGCTCATGGATTTGGCGCTTTGGGGCACTCAGAAGGTTTTCTTGAAAAACTTTATAAGGACCTCGTAATGAGTTGGTGGAGCATTTTGTATAGTCCCACCATTTTAAGACATATTTTTACATTTATATGCTAAATTATTAATGACGTGAGTTGGTTCCGAAGGGCAAACATACACATTTTTAAGTTCAATCGAGCCCTAATGCGGGAAAGAACAAATTTACCGTTTTTCATGTGCTATAGTCCATGCGTTTATTGGTGATACGTGATCCCGACTTGATTTTGGCCGAAATTTTTCATGGATGTCCGTTACAACCTTATTAATGGCGTGAGTTGGTCCCAAGGGGCAAACATACGTATTTTCAAATTCAAACAATCCCCAAAGCGCTTAAGACTGAATTTATCGTTTTTTTGTGTGCTATAATCCATGAATTTTTGGTGATACGTGATCCCAACTTGTTTTTGACCAAAATTTTTCATGGACGTCCGTTATGACCTTATTAATGGCGTGAGTTGGTCCCGAGGGAAAATCAGACGCATTTTTAACTTCAAATGAGCCCCAAAGAGCTTAAAACTGAATTTACCATTTTTCGTGTGCTATAGTCCATGAATTTTTGGTGATACGTGATCCCGACTTGTTTAGAGCCGTAATTTTTCATGGACACCTATAACGACCTTATTAATGGCGTGAGTTGGTCCCGATGGTCAAACATATGCATTTTCTAGTTGTAACGAGCCCCAATGCGGGAAAGACCGAATTTACCTTTTTCATGTGTTAGATCCCATGAATTTTTGGTGATACGTGATCCCAACTTGTTTTTGACCAAAATTTTTCATGGACGTCCGTTATGGCCTTATTAAAGGCGTAAATTGGTCCCGAGGTACGCATTTTAAAGTTCAAACGAGCCCTAAAGCGCTTAGGATCGAATTTACCATTTTTTCGTGTGCTATAGTCCATGAAATTTTGATGATATGTGATCCCGACTTATTTTTGACCGAAATTTTTCGTGGACAACCTTTACAACCTTATTAATGGCGTGTGTTTGTCCTGAGGGGCTAACATATGCATTTTCAAGTTCAAACGAGCCCCAATGTGGGAAAGACTGAATTTACTATTTTTCATGTGCTATAGTCAATGAATTTTTGGTGATACGTGATTTTAACTTGTTTTTGGCCGAAATTTTTCGTGGACCTCTGTTACAATCCTTATTAATGGCGTGAGTTTATTCACAAGGGACAAACAAATGCATTTTTAACTTCAAATAAGTCCTAAAGCACTTAAGACCGAATTTATCATTTTCTGTGAGCTATAGTCCATTAATTTTTGGTAATACGTGATTCCGACTTGTTTTTGGGAGAAATATTTCATGGACGTCCGTTACTACCTTAATAATGCCGTGAATTGGTCCTGAGGGTCAAACATACATATTTTCTTCTTCAAACGAGTCTTAATATGGAAAAAACCAAATTTACCATTTTTCGTATGCTATAGTCCATAGATTTTTGTTGATACGTTATCCCAACTTGTTTTTGATTGAAAGTTTTCATGGACGTCCGTTACGACCTTATTAATGGCGTGAGTTTGTCCAGAGGGACAAACATACGCATTTTCAAGTTCAAACGAGCACCAAAGCGCTTAGACCGAATTTACTGTTTTTTGTGTGCTTCCATAGAGTTTTGGTGATACGTGATCCCGACTTGTTTTTGACTGAATCGTAGATGTCCATTACAACCTTATTAATGACGTGAGTTGGTCCCGATGGGCAACTAGATGCATTTTCAAGTTCAAACGAGCACTAATGCGGAAAAAATGAATTTACCATTTTTCTGGTGCTATAATCCATGAATTTTTGGTGATATGTGATCCCGACTTGTTTTTCACCAAAATTTTTCATGGATGTCCGTTACGACGTTATGAATGGTGTGAGTTGATCCGAGGGGCAAACAAACATATTTTCAAGTTCAAACAAGCCTCAATACGGGAAAGACTGAATTTACCATTTTTCATATGTTATAGGTTCATGAATTTTTGGTGATACGTGATCTCGACTTGTTTTTGGTTGAAATTTTTCATGGACGTCCGTTATGACCTTATAAATGGCGTCAGTTGGTTCAGAGAGACAAATAGATGCATTTTCAAGTTCAAACGAGCCCTAATGCGAGAAAGATCAAATTTACAAATTTTCTTGTGCTATAGTTCATGGATTTTTGGTGATATGTGATCCCGACTTATTTTTGACCAAATTTTTTCATGGACGTTCGACCTTATTAATAACGTGAGTTGATCCGAGGGGCAAACAAATGCATATTCAAGTTCAAATGAGCCCTAATACGGGAAATACCGGATTTATCATTTTTCATGTGCTATAGCTCATGGATTTTTGGTGATACGTGATCTCGACTTGTTTTTGGCCAAAATTTTTCATGAACGTCCGTTATGACCTTATTAATGGCATGAGTTGGTCCCGAAGGGAAAACAATTGAATTTTCAACTTCAAACGAGCCTCAAAGCGTTTATGACCGAATTTACCATTTTTGTATGATATAGTTCATAAATTTTTGGTGATACATGATTCAAATTCGTTTTTGGGTGAAATTTTTCAGGAATGTCGTTATGACCTTATTAATGGTGTGAATTGGTCCTGAAGGGAAAACATATGCATTTTCTAGTTCAAACAAGCCCCAATACGGGAAAGACCAAATTTACTGTTTTTCGTGTGCTATAGTCCATGGATTTTTGGTGATACGTGATCCAAATTGTTTTTTGGCCGAAATTTTTTAATGGACGTCCGTTGTGACCTTATTAATGACCTGAGTTGGTCTCGAGGGACAAACAAATACATTTTCAAGTTCAAACAAGCTCCAAAGTGCTTAAGACCGAATTACCGTTTTTGGTGTGCTATGTCCATGGATTTTTGATGATACGTGATTCCAACTTATTTTTGACAAAAAAATTTCACGGACGTCCGTTACGACCTTATTAATGGCGTGAGTTTGTCCTGAGGGGCAAATAGATGCATTTTTAAGTTCAAATGAGCCCAAATCGCTTTTGAGCAAATTCACCATTTTTCGTGTGCTATAGTCCATGTATTTTTGTTTGTACGGGATTTCAACTTAATTTTGTCCGAAACTTTTTAAGGACGTCTGTTATGACCTTATTAATGGCGTTAGTTTGTCCTAAGGGGCATATACTTTTTCAAGTGCAAACGAGCCACACAACACTTAAGACCAAATTTACCGTTTTTCATGTGCTATAGTCCATGAATTTTTGGTGATACGTGATCCTGACTTGCTTTTTTATCGAAATTTTTCATGAACGTATGTTACGACCTTATTAATGGCGTGAGT